AAAAGAAATATAAACTTATCAGTTTACCCAAAAGAAATAACTGTCTAAACATCTCGCTGAAATCCGAAACCCGCTGTGCAAATACCCGGCTAGATATAGCGGCAGAAGCTTGTAGAATTCCCAGAATTTTCTTTTATCTTTTTTCCTCTCTCTTTCCTTTTTTTTTTTTTTTTTTTTTTTTTACTTTAGTTTCTCCTCGAGCCATAGAGACCATCCCCCCACGTTGCCACGTCTTCTTGCCAGCCATCGCGCGGGGGGAAGAATCAGACGTGGCAACAGCGCAGTACATAAGTTTTGCCACGCCCGGAACAAATGACTGTCGCGAAATGGGCGTCGTTGATTCTCAAAGTTTGGGGAGGTGGATGGGCGTGAGATAATAGGGTGATTTATCTTCTTAAGAACAGATTTTGCGCGGGGGAGAAAGAGTGGTAATGCAGTGTGCTCGTTGATGTTGGGCGGGAGTGAAGAATTGCAATGAAGTATGTGTGTGTGGTTTCATATGTCTAATGTGTACGGTGCGTGTGTGTGTGTGTGTGTGTGTGTATGTGTGTGTATGTGTGTTTGTGTGTGTGTGTGTTTGTGTGTTTGTGTGTATGTGTGTGTATGTGTGTGTGTGTTTGTGTGCGTGTGTGTGTGTGTGTGTGTGTGTGTGTGCGTATGAGGTTATGTAAGCGCGTTCGTACAATATATATATATGCACACACGAGCACGTATCCTCGACCATATAACATAACATTATACACACTTATTCCCCAGTACCACCCCTCCCCTTCTCCCTCCCTTCCTTTCTCAATCCACCTACCCACCCACCCACCCAAACCCTTCCCTCCCTCCCTCCCTATCTCCTTCCCTCTCCCACCCACCCACCACCCACCCACCCACCAACCTACCCACCCATCCCTCTCTCCCTCCCTCCATCCATCCATCGATCCATCCATCCATCCACCTAATACTCCTCCCTCTCTCCTCTCTCCTCCCTTCCTCTCTCCCTCCATCCTTCCCTCCCCCTCCTTCCCTCTCCCTCCCCCTCCATCCCTCCTCCTCCCTCCCTCCCTCTCTCCCTCCCTCCTTCCCTTTTCCCTCCTTCCCTCTTCCATCCATCCATCCCTCCTTCCTCTCTCCATCCCTCTCTCCATCCATCCCTCCCTCCCTCCCCCCATCCTTTCCTTTCTCCCTCCTTCCCTCCCCCCCTTTCCCCCTTTTCCTCCCTCCCTCCCTCCTTCCCTCTATCCATCCCTCCCTTCCTCTCTCCCTCCATCCATCCCTCTCTCCATCCATCCTCCCTCCTTCCCTCTCTCCATCCTCCCTCCCTCCTTCCCTCCCCTCCTTCCCTTCCCTCCTCCCTCCTTCCCTCTTTCCATCCATCCCTCTCTCCCTCTCCCTCCTCCATTTTCCCTCCCTCTCTCCCTCCTCCCTCCTCCTTTCCTTCCCTCCTCCTTCCTCTTCCATTCCCTCCCTCCATCCCTCCCTCCCCCTCCTTCCCTCTCTCCATCCTCCTCCTCCCTCCTCCTCCCCTCCCTCCCTCTCTCCCTCCCTCCCTTTCCCTCCCCTCCCTCCTTCCCTCTCTCCATCCATCCCTCCCTCTCTCTCTCTCTTTCCTTTCTCCCAAACGCAAACACAGAAAGAAAAACAACCAATCAAAACTCACCAGGCCTATGACGTCATAGGGGGAGGGGGAAGTCATGACGTCAATCAGATGTCCAACTTGCACTATGTACTCTGATGTTAAAATAATATCAAACGAAACGTACAAATTAAATTTTTATTCATACAATTACATTTCCCTCATCCACGTAACAAATTTTAAAGAAATTTCGTTACAAATACATATAAAACTAACACTCTTTAATTTCCTGTAATTCGCATAATGATCATATGACAGATCAAAATAACACGTAATCGTCCTCATTTCATGTATATCAATTTTTATTTTTTGCTCACTTCAAAAATGTGTTATTCTTGACAGATTTGTAACCATATGTAAGAGGAATATTCATCTCTTTATTGTTAATGTTAATTCTTATCATTATCAATATGATTATTATTATTGTTTCTTTTGTTATTGTTGTTGTTCTTGTTACAATAGTGATAATGATAATGATAATGATAATGGTAATGATGATAATGATTTCTTTTGTTCTTATCATTATCTTTGTTATTGTTAATACAATTATTTTTATTATCATTATTATTGTCATTATTATCGATATAATTGTAATATTATCATCATTATCTTAATAAGATTGTTATTCTTATTATCATCATTTTCATTATCAATGTAATTATAATAATAATTATTATTATTCTGATAATGATAATAATAATAACAATAATAATAATTAATTATTATCATTATTATCATTGTTATTATTATTATTATTGCTATTATTATTATTGTTATTATTATTGTTTTCATCATTATTATCATTGTTATTATTATTATTATCATTATTACTGCAATCATCTTTATTATTGCTGTTATCATCAGCGCCATCACTACCATTGCTGTTATTACAATTGTCAATATATTATTATTATCACCATTTATATTATTATATTTTATTATTATTAATATTATTATTATTATTTATTAATATTATTATTATTATTATTATTATATTATTATTATCTATTATTACTATCTCATTGATTTCCTCTGGCAGACTTCTCTCTCTCTCTCTCTCTCTCTCTTTCTCTTTCTCTTTCTATCTCATATTCGTTTATAGTTCGCTCATTCCTCTCTTGTTTGTTCCTCCTTTTTTGCACTTCCTCCTTTCTCTTCCCTCTCTTCTTCTTTTCTCTCCTCCTTCTCTCACTCCCAATTTCCCTACCTCCCTCACTCCTTCTAGCCTTATCTCTCCCTTTTCTCTTTCCCTCCCTCCCTCTCCCTCCCTCCCACCCTCCCTCTCCTCTCTCCTTCCCCTCCGCCCTCCCTCCCTCCTCCCCTCCTTCTCTCCCTCCCCTCCCTCTCCGTCTCCCACCCCACCCCCACCCTCCTCCCTCCTTCCCTCTCTCCCTCTCACCCTCCCTCCCTCCCTTCCCTCCCTCCCACCCTCCCCTTCCCTCCCTCCCCCCTCCCTCCCCCTCCCTCCACACAAGTTCCGGCTCCATCTGCTTATGACAACTTTTTTCATCACTTCTTTCGGGTCTTTCCTTACTTCCATATTACAGAAGTTTTGACGCTTATCGCCCGACTCGTCAGAAGCGAGGGATGGACGTATATATATATATATATATATATATATATATATATATATATATATATATATATATATATATATATATATATATATATATATATATATATATATATATATATATATATATATATATATATATATATATATATATATATATATATATATATATATTATATATATATATATATACACACACATACATACATATATAACATCAGCAAAGATTAAGTAAATATGAAATGTTGCATTTGGCAATCTTGCAATTCACCGCACTAAAGGTCATGGTGTACGACGTCAGGTCATGCAGGAAAAGCGGATGGAAATAAAGTTTTATTTATATGTATGGTTTCATGTGAATTGAGATCCTTTCGCGAATCTCTGTTTATGAATATAGATATGTTGTGTACACATGCATACGTACATGCATAGTGAAGACGCTTTTCTGTGTTGTTGTGATGGTAATATCATTTTTGTTGTTGTTTGTTGTTATTCTTATCATTATTGTCTATGTATCTTTTTTGTTTTGTTTTGTATTTTTTTACCAAAAATTTTTTTTTTCTGATTCCTTCCCGACACATAACATTGGATGAATTGAAAAAGAAAAGACAATTTCTTATTTTTCTTTCTCGTTCTTCATTCTTTAACTCTTTATCTCTCTCTCTCTCTCTCTGTCTCCCTCCCTCCCTTCTCTCTCTCTCTCTCTCTCTCTCTCTCTCTCTCTCTCTCTCTCTCTCTCTCTCTCTCTCTCTCTCTCTCTCTCTCTCTCTCTCTCTCTCTCTCTCTCTCTCTCTCTCTCTCTCTCTCTCTCTCTCTCTCTCTCTCTCTCTCTCTTGCTTACAATACCTTAATCATTACTTTTATTTCCACGATGTGTATTTTGTCAGTTACTATAGGAAGCTTTACATTTACCTTTCTCATTGGATTGCATTACAACGATATGCTGAAAGATATATTATTATTGTTATTATCATTATTATTATTATTATCATTGTCATTATCATCATTATTATTAGTATTATCATTATCATTATTATTAGTATTATCATTATCATCATTATTATTAGTATTAGTATTATCATTATTATTGGTATTGTTTAAATTGCCTGATGTGGCTTAATTACGATAAAAAATCATCGTTATTAGACTAACCAATTTCAAATTCTCAACTAAAAAGGAAAACAGTACTAAATTGATGAATAAAATAATAATGATAATAATAAATAGATAACTAAAATGATAATAATAGATAGATGAATAAAACAATAATGATAATGATAAACAGATAAATAAGATAACAATGTACAATAAAAGATTAAAAAAAAAAAAAAAAAAAAAAATACCAAAACACCTAACATCTCACTCTCCCTCTTCTCTCTTTCAGCTGTTCACGAAAAACTGTTCACGCTGTTCATGCTGGTGTCGCTGGTGTACATGCTGTGCGTCATCCGGGTGCTGCGAGCGGTCAAAGAACAGCTGTCGCCGCGGCTGCTGAGGTCCTTCGCCCAGAAGAAGTGGCTCTTCGGCGTCAAACTCACCTCGACTGGCGGCTTGCTCTTCTTCTTCTGGCGGCACCGGGTCTACTGCCAGCCCCCTTGGGCTGGCGGCACCGGGTCTATTGCCAGCCCATGGGTGAGGAGTCGAAGGGGCTTCTGGCGGCACCGGGTCTATTGCCAGCCCATGGGTGATGGGGAGGAGAGAGGGGGTGATGGGGGGTGAGAGGAGGGAGAAGGGAGGGGGAGGAAGGGAGAGAGAGGGGGGGATTGATGGGGAGGGAGCGGGGGGGGGGATGGGTAGGGTTGCTCTTCTTCTTCTGGCGGCACCGGGTCTATTGCCAGCCCATGGGTGAGAAGGACGAGGTGAGGGGGTGGGGAGAGAGAGGGGGGGTGAGGGGTTGATGAGGAGGGGGAAAAGCGGGAGGGTGGGGGCTGGAGGGTGGGGAGAGGGATGGTTGGGAGGGGAGATGGGGTGGGAAGGAAGGAGGGTAGTGAGTGGGGGTTGGAGGGGGTGAGGGTAGGTGAGGGTTGGGTGGGTAGGGGAAGGGGTGGCATTGGATGTGATGATGGAAGGTTGATGGGAAAGAGGGGTTTGGAAGGAGGGAGTGTGAGGAGAGGGGGTTGGAGGCGTGGGATAGGGTGAGGGGTAAGGGAAGGTGGGGGAGAGGGGTTAGAAGGAGGGGAAGGGGTTAGAGGGGATGTGGTGATGGGGGTGGAAGGAAGGGTTGGGAGAAGGGTTTCAAGGGATGGAGATAGAAGGGTTGGGAGGAGGGTGATGGAAAGGGGGAGGGAGAGAGAGTGGAGGAGGGGCGTTGGAGGGGGATGGGGTAATGAGGAGGGAGAATGGTGGGGTTGAGGTGAAGGTGAATGTAGTGGAGGGGCGTTTGGAAGACTGAAGGGGATGGAGGGCGGTGGAGAAGGTGGAGAATGTGGAGGTGGATAAAGAGCGTGGAGAATGGGAAGTGGAGGCATAGGAGTGTGGGAATGGATAGACAGGGCCGAAGTGTAGAGGATAGAGGATAGTTGGGTTAGAAGGGAAGGATGTTAGGCCAGAGTAGAGGAACAGAAGAGGTTATAACATATACATACATATTATATATATATATATATATATATATATATATATATATATATATATATATATATATATATATATATATATATATATATATATATATATATATATATATATATATATATATAATATATATATATATATATATATATATATATAATATATGTGTGTGTGTGTGTGTGTGTGTGTGTGTGTGTGTGTACACACACACACACTGCATATATATATATATATATATATATATATATATATATATATATATATATATATATATATATATATATATATATATATATATATATATATATAATATATATATATATATATATATATATATATATATATAGATAGATAGAAGAATAGATAGAGAGATAGATAGATATATGTGTGTATATGTATGTGCATATCCGTACACAGACACAAAATATAAAGCGAAATATCCTTTCACACCTATAAAAAAAGTCTAGATAAACAGGAGAGCGTAATCAAAAACTTCCGTATCCGCTCGTGACTAACTCTACGGGCGAGCAACCCACATTTAACATCTGCCAGAATCACTTGTGCAGTATTCTCCCTGTCCCTTGAGGAGAGAGAGAGAGGGAGAGAGAGAGAGGAGAGGAGAGGAAAGGGAGGAGAGGAGAGGAGAGGAGGGGAGGGAGAGGAGGGAGGGGAGGGAGAGGAGAATAGAGAAGAGGGGAGGAGAGGAGAGGAGAGGAGAAGAGAAGAGGAAGAGGAGAGGAGAAAAAAAAGAGGAGAAGAGAAGATAGGAGGGGAGAGAAGAAGAGAGGAGAGGATTAAATATGAGAGGAGAGGAGAGTAGGGGAGAGGAAAGGAGAGTAGGAGATAGGAGAGGGAAGCCAGGATTTGCAGCTGAAAAGTGAGAAGAGGAGAGAATAAGAGAAGAAAGGAGAATTCCATAATGCATCGTTTCAAATTGGGATTTTATGGCTCTTTTTACAACTCATTGTGCAAGTCGATAGCATCTGCAAGACGCTTCTCTTTCTTTTGGGTTGTTAGTGTTGGAAAAGAAGGGAGTAGATGGAGAAGGAAAAGAAGGGAGTGGAGAAGGAGTAGAAGGAGAAGGAGAAGGAAAAGGAGGGAGTGGAGAAGAGTGGAAAGGAAGGGAGTAGAAGGGTAGAAGGAATAGGGGAAGGCCAAGGAGGTGGAGTAGGAGAAGGAGGAGAAAAAAAAAAGAGAAGGAGGAAGAGATGGGAAAGGAGTAGTAGGGGAGAGGGAATAGGAGAAAGAGAAGGAGAAGGAGAAGAAATAAGAGAAGGAGGAGGGAAAAAATAGAAGGAATAGGAGAGAAGAAGGAGGTTGTGAAGGGGAAAGAATAGGAGACGGAGAAGGAATAGGAGGAATAGAAGAAGGAATAAGAGAAGGAGAAGGATGTGGAGAAGGAAAAGAAATAAGAGAAGGAGGAGGGGAAGAAATAGAAGGAATAGGAGAAGGAGAAGGGGGAATGAGGAGTAGAAGGAGAGGGAAGGAGAAGGAGAAGGAGAATGAGGTGGAGAGGGAGGAGAAGAAGAATAAGGAATGAGAGAAGGAGAAGGAGGAGAAGAAATAGAAGGAATAGGAGAAGGAGAAGAAGTTGGAGAACAAGGAGAAGGAATAGGAGAAGGAAAAGGAGAAGGAGGAAAGGAAAGAAGGAATAAGAAAAGGAGGAAATAGAGAAAGTAGAAGGAATAGGAGAAGGAGAAGAAAGAAGAAGAGTATAACATAGGAGAAGGAAGGAGAAGAAATAGAAGGGGAGAAAAAAAGAGAGAAGGAGAAGAAATAGAAGGAATGGGAAGAAGGAGAAGAAATAAAAGGAATAGGAGAAAGAGAAAGAAGGAATAGGAGAAGGAGAAGAAATAGAAGGAATAGGAGAAGGAGAAGGAGGTGGAGAGAAGAAAGGAATGAAAAGGAGAAGGCGAACTAGAAGAAATGAAGTTGGAAGTGGAGATTGAAAAAGAAAGAGAGAGGAAGAGGAAAAGAAAATGGAGAAGGGGAAGGAGAAGGAGAAGAAGGTAGAGTCAAAGTAGAAGGTAGGAAAGGAGAAGGAGAAGAAAAAGGAGAAAGAGAGAGAGATAGGTAGAGAAGGAGAAGGAAATAGATATGGAGAAGGAAAGGAGAAATAGATTGAGAACAATAAGGAGAAAGAGCTGGATTTGGCGAAAGAGAAGGAGAGGGATGGGATGAAGATGGTGGAGGAGAAGGAAAATGAGAAGGAGAAGGAGAAGGAAAAGGAGAAGGAAAGGAGAAGGAAAGGAGAAGGGGAGGGCAATCAGATGGAGAAGGAGAAGGAAAAGGAGACAGAGGTGTAGCAGGAAAACGAGAAGGATTTAGAGAAGGAGGAGATGGTGGAGGAAAGTCGAAGAATAGGATGTACGAGGAGAGGAAAAAGGATGGCGAAGGAAGGAGGAATAGGAGACAGAGGAAGAGGAGAAGCAGATGGATGAGGAAGCGAAGGGGGAAATAGAGAAGGAAGGGAAAAAGAGGGAGATGGAGGAGAAGAAAGGGTGAAGAGTCTTACAGATGAGAAGAGGAAGATAAAGAAAATGGAATGTAAGAGGACGAGGAGACAAAGGAGGAAGGAAGGAAGAAAAGAGGAAAAGATTGCAGGAGATAGAGAAGTTGGAGAAAAGAAACGGAGAAAGAGGAGAGAGGGAAAGGGAGAGGTATGAGTAAGTTAGATAGACAGACAGTAGATAAATAGATAGATAGACAGAAAGAAAGAATGATAGATAGTATAAAGGCAAACAATAGGTGATAGATAAATTGGTTGATAGCCCATTGATAGATAGATGGATAGATAGGAAAGGAGAGAATGAAGAAAGTTAGATAGATTGACAGGCAGACAGACAGTCAGATAGAAAGATAGGTAGACAGAAGATACAAAGAATAGATAGAAAGAAAGACAAAACAATAGGCATATATATAAATAGGTAGATAGCCAGAATAGATATATAAATAGCTAGCTAGCAAGTAGATAGATAGGCAGAAAGCAGATAGACAGATGTATAGATAGATATTACGGATACATAATATACAGAAAGACAGACAGACAGATAGATAGACAAATTAACAGAAAAGCAGATGAAGATAGATAGATAGATAGGCAGACAGACAGATAGATAGATACGTAGATAGACAGATAGACAGATTGATAAATGCAGATACAGAGATGGATAGAAAGACAGACATACAGACAGATAGACAAACTGACATACAGATAGATAGATAGACAGACAGATAGAGAAACTGACAGAAAAACAGATAAATGTAGATAGATAGATAGATAGACAAACTGGCAGAAAAACAGATATAGATAGATAGATAGATAGTTGGCAGACAGACATAGTGATAGATATATAGATAGATAGACAGATAGACGAATAAAGATCAGACAGACACGCAAACCGAATCATCAACAAAACAGAGGAAGAAAGAGAAGAGAATAAAATAAAAACAATAAAAAACACAAAATAAAAAAAACCAAAAAGAAGAGAAAAAAAAATAAGAAGCACTGGTTCTCCAAAAAGCAGAAAGTTGAATTCCAAAATTGAAAGGGTTTGCAATATTAGTGGGTATTATTTAGCCAAACTACTAAGGAAACAGAATAATCTGACTTTTGTTTTTTTTATCATTAATATTGTTATTATCTTTATCATTATTTTTATCATTATTGTCATTTTTATATTATTGTCATTACTTTTATCATTATTTTTATCATTATTGTCATTGTTATATCATCATTACTGTGTTATTATCTTTATCATTATTCTTATCATTATTGTTGTTATTGTTATTGCTAATATTACTTTCATCATTATTATCCTCGTTGTTATAACTATTATTTTTATCATTATCATAATTATAACTATTAATATTACTATCATTAGCTTTCGTGGTAGTACTAGTAGTGTAATTTCTACTACTATTGATAATATGATAGTGTAATTACTAATTTAGCAAATAGCCTTAGCTTTAATTCAAACTAACATTCATTTAAACTGACAATAAGTATTGAAAATTTCCTTTTCGTTGCATCCATAATAATGAATTGATAATCATGTGTATTGTTCATGTCAGTTGTGATTTGAATGTCATTATATGATGTTTTTTTATGGAATTCTTTAGATTCTAAAGTATTCAATGAGTCATTTTTCACTTTTGATTATATGAAATGATTTTATATATTTGAAACCTTATGTATATGATTGTGCATGTGCATGCATACATACATACATACGCACATACTTACATACACACATACATACATACATACAAATATACATACAAGCATATATACTTACATCCACGCATGCATACATACATACATGCATACATGCATACATACATACATGCATACACACATGCATCTATTCACACACACATGCACATGAGCCTTCCCTCCTCTGACGCCCCTTCCTTGCAGCCTTCAGCTGGTTCTCCCTGTGCGAGTACGTGATCGCCACCTGCAACATGCTGTACCACGTGAGCGTCGCCCTCGACTTCTCCGAGGAGCACCTCATCGTGGGCCACATCATCTCCTCCTCGACGGCCGCCCTCGCCTCCTCCGCCTCCTCCAACTCCCTCTCCACCGCCGCCTCCGCCTCGCACCGCCACTCGCTCTCCACCTGCGAGTCGATGGCCACGTGCGAGGGCGGCGCCACGCCCACGTCGCCGCCCACCAGGAACGGGCGGCTAGACGAGGCGCTGGCGCCCGAGGGCCCGCTCCCGGCGGCGCCGCAGCCCCTGCCGCCGTCCGTGGGCGGCCCGCCCGCGGGAAGGCCGGGACGCGGCGAAGGCCGAGAGCCCCGCGGCGGAGGCGCCCTCGTGCGTCGCGGGCGGCGCGGGCGTGGGGGCGGCGGAGGAGGAGGCGCCGCCGGCGGTGGTGCACCAGGTCCTCAACACCATCCACGAGGGCGCCGAGCCGCCGGCGCAGCGCGTGAACGGGCCGGCAGAGCCGCCCGCGGCCGCGCTGGTGCAGCGGAGACCCGCCCCGAGCAGCGCGAGTCAGCCCACGCCCATACAGGGCGCCCCCGACGCCGCTGCACCCCACGCCCACAGCGAGTGAGGCGGGGACTTGGAGACTCCGCCCATCTATCCGGAGAGTGCAAGCGAGGGCGCCTGCACGCCGCCCATCCCCTCGGTGGAGGCCGCCCCGCGCACGAAGGACCGGAGACGCCTCCGCGCCAGCTCCCGCAGGAGGCCCGGGCCCGGCGGCAGCGAGCGAGGGCGCGGGCGCCGCCCTCGAGCCCTCGCCGCCGGCGGCGCACGCGGGACGCCTCGGGCTCTCGGCGTGTCCCTCGGGGCCTCCCCTCGGGGTCCGGCGGAGGGCGCCTCGCCGAGGGCGGCGGCGTGGGGGGCGGCTCGGGCCCGCGGGCGTCGCCTCGGCGGGCGGCTTCGCTTCAGCCTCCGCCCGGAGCGCCGTCGTAGCTAAGCTGAGATTGTATAATTCGCCGCAGGTTTCTTTGAGACGTTTGGACACAAAAGAGCAAATGCTATTCCGTCAGAGGAAGCAAAGCAGGTAGCAGATTGGTCGAAGAATAAGGTCATTTCTTGCTTGTAGTTGGTTTAGCCTCGGAGGAATCCTGCACTCGAATGTAGACCTTGCAACTGAAAATTTTCATTGTAGTCGATGACCATATATATATATATATATATATATATATATATATATATATATATATATATATATATATATATATATATATATATATATATATATATATATATATAATATGATATAAACCACATCAGAGGAAAGCTTAATGGCCTTATAGAAGCGGATAACAATAGATCAATGAAAAAAAATAAAGTGACACGAAGAAGCCAAGCAAGAAAAGAAAAAGAGAAAGAAAGAAAGAAAGAAAAAAACACAAGCAAGCGCAAGCCAGACAAGCAAGAACAAGCAAGGGGTCAAGCAAGCCAGAGACCAAGCAGAACATATTGGCCAAGCCGTGTGTGTGTGTGCGTGATTTTCGACCTTCGGGTACGTAGTGTTGGAGGGACGAGGAAGTTTCCTTGAGGAACCGGAAGTCTGGCGAAGAAGAAGTGATTGCGTCGGGATCTAAATAAAAAAAAAAAAACAACAATGAAGAAATAAACAACAACAATAAACAAATAAACAACAACCATAAAGAAATATAGAGCAAAAAAGTACGTAAACAACAACAGGAAGTGACAATCTTAGATCCTCCTTGGCTAATAGTGTGAAATCTTATTCTTGTCAAATTGGCCAGTGTTTCCAGACAGAAAAAAAAGATGGATAAAAAAAAGGAAAAGCAGTTTTACCAGAAATGCAAATCATGGCAAAACATAATGATAATGAAAGCAATGATGATAAAAAAACGATAATAATGATGATGATAAGCACAGACGCGAACCAAGAAAACCAAGAAAAAGAAGTGATAATGGAAGTGTATAGATGAAAAACAAGAAAAAGGGAGATATAAATAACTAAATAAATAAATAAAAAAAACTTGGTAAACTAAAAAAACAACACATTTTATCGCCATTCCTTGCTGGCATACGGTAGCAGCTGCGTTTATTTTGATAATTTAATTATTATTATTATTATTTTGAACATACGAACACGATGAAAAAAAAAAACATAAACATTTGTTCGTCAGAAGTGACTTTGATAGAGCTTGAGACGTCTGTTGTTATCTATCTATCTATCTATTCGTCTATTTCATTTATTTATTTGTCTATCTATTTTTTATTTATTTTCCTCATTGGCTTCTGCTTTCATTTAGTTAAAACCGAAAAGACAACATTTAAAAAAAAAGTTCTTGTGAGCATATTAAAAAAAAAACTATTATATATATAAAACAAATACGATAATTAGTCAATAAATTCAAATAAATCATAGATCCGTTGAACATTGTGTGAACACTAGCAATCTTTTTCCACAGGTGAATATAGATTACACTTCACCTTTTATAAGCCTTGGGTAGTGTTTTCCATAATATTCAAATTCACTAATTTTTTTATATATATACATTTAAGGACACCCCAGAGCTAAGCAACGCTACCACGGGTGTGTGTGTGTGTGTGACGTCATTTTGTGGTCGGAAGCAAAAGAGTGACGTCATTTTGTGGTCGGAGGCAAAAGTGTGACGTCATTTTGTGGTCGGAGGCAAAAGTGTGACGTCATTTTGTGGTCGGAGGCAAAAGTGTGACGTCATTTTGTGGTCGGAGGCAAAAGTGTGACGTCACATTTTGGGCGGGAAAAGTGTAACGACTGTTCCTGGTTAGGATAAAAAAAAAGTGTGACGTCACCCGCTAGTTGGAGATTCGGTAATGACGTCACCTGGTTAGGATAAAAACGAATGACGTCACCAATTAGTTGGATTTAGAGCTCTGATTAACCGCCCTCTCAATAGGGTAAAGATATGACGTCACTCCCTGGACGTGGGGAAAAAAAAAAAAGTCTGACGTCACCACCATGGGGGCGGAGAGAATAGGGGTGTGACGTCAGCTCCTGTCCCCGCCCACTTTTTCGCTACCGTGGCCCGTGAATTCTGATGCCTTATTGATTTAGACCAGAATGTTTGACCGCTTCTTTGGACGACGTGGCCGCAAGGGGGGAAGGAAGAGGAGGAGGAGGAGGAGGAGGAAGAGGAGGAGAGAAGGAGGAGGAGGAGGAGGAGGAGGGAGGGAGGAGGAGAAGAAGAGAAGGGAGGAGGAGGAAGAAGAGGAGGAGAAGGGAGGAGAGGAGGGAGGAGGAGGAAGAGGAGAGAAGGAGGAGGAGAGAAGAGGAGAAGAAGAGAGGGAAAAATAAGAAGAAAGGAGGAGGAGAAGGAAGGGAAGAGGAGGAGGAGGAGGAGGAGAAGAAAAGAGAAGGAAAAATAAGACGGTCATTTCAGAACTGTTTACTGTCTGGGATGAAATTCTGTCGGCGGTTTGAAAAGTGGATTTCTATTTTGGCCTTTTTTCGGGTTTCCCTTTCTTTCCTTCTGTTCCTTGTGTGCCTCTTCCTCCTTCCTTTTTTATTTGTCTCTGTTCTTTCTTGTCTCTTTCCTCGTCTTTCTTTTATTCCTTTTCCTCCTCTTCCTTATTAAATACCCCTTAATTAAGCTCTCTCTCTTCCCTCTTATTCTCCTCTTCCTCTTCCTTTTTCCATTTACCTTCCTC